CTGGTATTAGTTCAAGTCCTGGGGAATAGAAACTATTCCACACAAACACACTCATAAGCTTTCCCATTTTAATGCTCCATGAGGTGCATATTTAAACACAATCGTAACACATTTTCTTAAAGTTTTGGGCTACCTACTCTTTCATAAATAAAGTATAATGAAAGCATCTAGACATCAATTTGTTCGGGATATTTCATAATATAAGTAATCAAGCAAACGATCTATTTAGATACATTCAAATTTACTTGACATGAAACGCCTTCATACACAGTTCGATCGGTCAAGCTTCATAAGCTTTCGTAGTTGGTAATATACTACAAAAGCTACTTTAAGGCTCGAAGTACAATTTAATTTTTTTTTCACTAAATACAGGAGAAAAATCGGAATTTTTTGATTTTTCTTCTGGTTTAAACGTCAATTTTGGCAGCCTTAATCATTACCTTAATTAGGTTGCAACTAGTAAGCGGATCGGTCACCTAATCTGACACTCCATGTAAATATAATCTTTAAAATAGCAACCATCAAGATAGAGGACAAAGGTTAATGGAGGCATGGCCAAAGGACTACTCCGTGGTATGACCTAGAATACAAAATTTAAAAATGAAGAAATTTCTGTTGAATAATATCTATTTATTTTCACATTTTATCCGCTTTTGGATAATGAATTGGAACATTTGATGTGTTGAGACGGAAGATACAGCTTTACGACTGATATGAGTCTAATCTACAAGCTTAACATGTAGCATCGCCGTAGTTATAAAACGATTTAATGCATTGCAAAATAAATATCAGTACAGCATAATGCAAGCAAAAAATAGCATAAAATGCTTGAAACTGAGTACATTTATTCGTCAGGCGTAGAGAAGAAATCGGAAACAAGGGATGTGCTGACAGGACTCATTTCCTACCAGGTGAATTTTTTCCTGGCGATATTTGAAACTGGAAGACCGGAGTAGGTGGGACCGAGGGCTGCATTTGTGGTGCACCAATCTGCGAGCCCTGGTACGGCCAGCTCATCATTCCGTTTTGGTAGGGATATATAGGCGGCTGCATTTGATGCGCGTGGATCATGCCCGGTTGAGTCATCGGCGCTGGTGGTACACCGTACGGTGGCAACATACTGCTGGGTATCGGCGGCATCATCGAATTGGGCATCATTCCACTTTGCATTGGGTATACTCCGTTCATGGGCGCGCCTCCGTAGCCTGGCTGAAGATTTAAGGCAATTTGCTCAGACAGTTATATATCATCTATTACTGGTTCCACACATTTATCAAATTATGAACTGGAGTAAGTCCAAAACATCGTTTCAATGGGTCGAAAGCTTCCCATTTATCTAGTTTGACAAAAAGTACCCAGTACAACACTATAAACTCAGGTAAATGGGGTTATGGAAAATAAAGCCTTCTGCTGGCTAAAAAATTACTGACTCCTGGAGTTAAATAAAACTTATATTTATAGGGAAGGTTTTGCATTTAGTCAAAGAGGTATTATTACAAAGAAATAGTAATCCTGATGGAAATGGAAGTATTCAAAAACTGGGTCATGTGTATCATGAAGGAGCAGAAAACCCATCCAAATGATTGCATTTAGAATATTCGTGCATTGTTTTCGACCACAACCAATGCATACGAAAATTTAATAATAGCTAAGTAAAAAGGTAGACCCCCTTGAGAAGAAAACGAGTCCATAATTCTGCCTTAAAACGACAGTTTATTCGATGCAGTTAACCCTATAAAAGCCAACAAAATATTAAATAACACTGTATTAAAATAAGAAACAGCAAAATACTTAGTAAAATTAATCATCAAAAGACAAACCAAACACCTAATTACAAAACCCATTTGAAGTATCGTAATTATAGCAAATCCACCTGCCAATTTTCCGAAAAAAAACTTGCCTGATACACAGAAAACATCCTCGCATCCGGTCTTTTGTCGTAATACCTGTCCTAAACAAAAGTTCATGGAGTAAAGATGAACTTACTACATGCCTAGACCGGGATCGCCTGTAACCGCGACTAAGAAGACATAATTAGGAACATTTGCGCTTACCTGTGATCGCTACTGGACGAGCTGCTACTGCTGCTTCCGCTACTGCTGTTTGTGCTAACGCTACGTCGCCCACCCCCGCGTTGGCTCTTCCTCGTCTTCCCCATAATTACTGCTTATCGGGTCTTGAAGGTCAAATGGCATGTTATAGATATTTGTAGGTTAAAAGAAACACTAAGAATAAAGGTAATACAAAAATTTATCCATTATAAATGCATCGAAGAAGAAAGAGGTGACAATCAAGTGACGTATTAACCGCAACGTAATCCAATCTGCAAGTGCAAGCATTTTTAAAAGGGGTTTTATGCAATTGCTTAAAAACACATTTTTCTTTCATCATGTTATGGAAACCAAAAGTTACCAAGTTAATACATTTTGCAGTTTGAATTTGACTCAGAAAAGTTATTCCCAAGTTACAGGCCATCAGGACAAGCAATTAACATAATTTCCCAAGGTAAATCCGGAAGAAACCTACATTCGCGGGGTAAATTTTACGCAATTACTGCCTCTACATGTAACTTCTAATATTATTGACTTTTCTTTTTGACTTCGATATTACAGGGCACTTGGGGCTTCGCCATTGATCTCCAGAACGTTACAGTGGGCTCTCAGCCCTTCTGTTCGTCGGCGACACCCTGTCCTAGTCTTATGACTTTTTTACGTCTACGGGATAGACTTTGAACGCTTCACTATATTCACCTTACTAGCGTGTGCGTTTGCACAGGTGATAATTTTAAAAATCCAGGCAATCTGAGGGGTCTCACGTCGGCTACCCATCCTGGTCCATAATGACCTCTAAATCGCTATTTGGATAATTTGCTGTTGCAACATAATCTCCACTTATAGCGCATTTAAAAGTATCGTAAGTAAGATATACTTCAGTAACAAGAGCTAACAGATGATTTTGAGAATTCGGCTTTATGTATTTTTGGCTAACGACAGTTTGTAGATTGCTTTTAATTTTTCTCTTAAATTGGCCTAAAATTAGTTTTCCAAAAGATTATTTAGTTACGAGCAATGTCACATTTAAGGTTAGTTACTGCACAGAATCAAATGTGTAGCCCTAAATTATCTCAAATTGTTTTAATCAACCTCATGCACATGCTCGTGCTACAAATTAGGCCCTGTGGCGGTGTAGTTGCTACTCTTTGCGGCATAGTACCTTATTAATTCTACTTGCCCACGTCTTACATCCCTTTTGCACCTGCTCTTCCATTGTGCTAACTGCTCTTCAGGTAGGTATCTGCGCCATGTGCACTCTTACCACCTTTGTATTCGTATAATGTACTTGTTTTTCCAATATCCCATTAACCGTTTAAGGATTTGGTCTCGTTTTTTAGTTTGAACTCCTGAAAAACATGAATCCAATTACGCAAACAAAGAATCAAAACGCCATGAACGAACGTGAACTTCATTTCGGATACACAGGCACAGAAAGCAGTTGGCACCGACAATACAGGGACTCTGCCTGGATTTTCGTTGGTGGTTTGAGCTACGACTTGACAGAAGGCGATGTAATTTGTGTGTTCTCACAGTACGGCGAAGTCGCCAATATAAACCTCGTGCGAGACAGAGACAGTGGGCGTTCCAGGGGATTCGCCTTCGTCTGCTATGAAAACCAGAAGAGCACCGTTCTTGCTACAGACAATCTTAACGGCATAAAGCTTGCGGGTCGCACAATTCGTGTTGATCATGTGGAGAAGTATAAAGTGCCTACTACCGGTGTGGCGAAAGTTGGACGTCAAGACGCCGACCAGGTCCCTCTAGAGGCTGATGCTAGTGAATTCCCCTCAGTAACTGACTACGTCCGCGAGCATGGTTGCGGACCTGAGGCGATGCGAAGGATTCTAGAGCTCCAAAAGGTTAACAAGACCTCCCAAGAATCCCCGTGGTCTACTGGATATCACATGAATCGATCACCCTCTCCACCACGTGGGTCTCATCGTCTCGCGTCACAAAACTGTTCCCCCTATCATAGAAGGTCTCCTTCTGTGTCGCCTCCACGTCGCACGGAAAGGCACTCCACTCGTGGGCATCCTTCATCTCACCGGAGATTTGGTCGTTCTCCAGAGGCAACCGATGCCTCCACGAGACGCAGATTGGGAGCATACTCTAGGAATGTGTCCATACCCAGACAAGGAAACAGACTTACTTCCAGCTACGTCTCCTCACATCATTCCAGGCACCGCGAGCGCTCTCGAAGCTCCCCTTATCGAAGAAAATTGGAACTGTAAGAACTTCTCAAAAGCCCCATATAAATTATGCATTTCCCAGCACTTTTTGTGCTTTTCAATACTCACTCAAGGCGGTTTTGACGATTGCACGTGGTTTCTGTTTGTCTGGTAAAAACAATGATACCAAATTCATATACTTTTACACTGACATGAAACTGGTCAAAAGAATTCGTCACTGATCCCGATAGGTGGTCGAGCGGCAGCTCGGTATTCCCGATCCTCGAAAATCGGATAGACGATATCAGTAAGGTTTTTGATCTTGTTACAAGCAGTAGTGGTGGGAGTGGAGAAGACGAATTTGAGGCAGGCCTGCAGATGCGGTCTCATCTTGCTTAATAGGCCCTGAACCTCGTCCTGCACCGCTTTTCCCACGTAAGTGTACTTGATGTGATACAGCAAATCTGCTATCGTGTTCACGTGATAGAGAGGCACTCCCTTCGCCGCTAACGCCTCATCGACCTGCTGTACCGCCTTGTAGAGGCTTACTGTCAACTGTAAAAGCAAACGTGAGATAAATAGACGGAACCCGGTTCAACTTAATAAGCTCTGTCATTCATTCTTAGGATCAAATTAAATGGGTCTACTCACAGGGGAGCCAGGTCATTCTGAAAGGGCGACTGCCACTGACCAAACTCCTTAAAGGCACCTCATTCGAGTAAAACGAATCATGAACGTCCCGTACTTGTTCTGTTCGTCTATTGATCGCTTTAAATAATTGTTTTGAAGCTCAATATTCCAAGATTTTCACGAATCAATCGTGCTTCACATCAGGGAGACGCGCCATCGCCTTTTCAGACGCGTGTTTTGTTTTATGATTACTTCATGATCAATCCTTTGGAATAGTTGCTAGAAAACTTTAGAAAAGTACTTATACTGTTAGTACGAAACCGCTGGAGCGGTAGAGGCAACTCGGTTTTAACGAACGGAGTATTTGGTCAGGAGGTCAATATTACAAATGAGCCGAGTGGCGTGATGGAAGCCAATCTTGGTAATTAAACGGTGAGCTCTACTAGACCTCATATTTAATGACCTAATATAAGGTCCGTGTTTGTGTGATTACTTCCAAAGTGACATTCGTTTATCATAGTTCCACAGCCTTGTGCTATCCAAAACTGTTTTATTCGGACGCCTACAATAAATATAACCAGTCGTGCTTAAAACGCTCGGCTTGGATGTCACTGAAACAAAGACACTTTTGGGGAAGTTATGCATTTGTCTAATTTTTGTCAGAATTAAGAGCTCACAGAGGCAATGCTATTGAATCTAGTCCACCTATACTATTGGTCCAGTATTGTTATTTTAATGCTGAAAGAAAGTAGATAGGCGACTTCCGAACTTACGTCAACAATCGTTGATGTGTCGTTGCTCAGTGCTTTCATGGGTGGAGTAATCATTGAAAACGCCATTAACAACTTGGCCTCATTGTTAACATACTTCAGCACGAATTCTTCGAAGATTCTGCGAAGATGAGAAAAGTAAACTGCTTACAAGTGGACGCATGCATCGCATTGATCACTTGATATTCAATATCTTTAGGTATAGAATTGTTAGTCTTCGACATTATTTGTTACCTTTTGTCCTAATCCTTAATATGCGGAACTTTAATATCAACGAGGTATTGCTGCTACCTTTTCAGTGTTAATATGCAAAACATCCATAGTAGGATCCACAAAATTCTATTTTGCCGAAATATGAACAGTTGCTGTTACTACAGGAAAAAAGAAACCTCTCTAACCGGAGCAGAGCTGGGTTATCATTCAAGCTGGCATGGCTCCAAATGGCGTGCCAGACAGCGGCTTTGAAGAGGTGATTCGGCAGAGTATCTCCTTGGGGCAGTTGAGGCGGCAGGATGGTCTCAAAGAATCGCACCGATGAGGTGTGTGGACGACCCAGCACCTCCCAGTTTGCCTCACCGTCCTGTTGGCAGGCTTTCAGTGCTGCCTCTTCGGCCTCCTGCTCAAAAACCGTGAGTTGAACCGGCTGGTCAGTAAGGACGCGACAACGCCGAAACACCTTCAACAGCTGGGCCGGCGAGTGAGGCGACGACTCAGTGCTCGTCTTCAGAGTCAAAAGAATCGAGGGCCACTGCTCCGCGTCGTTGAAGCAAGAGTCGTGAATGAGGGAGCACGTCAAGCAAAGAATGTTGTGTCGAAATACAAACTGTAAGACAGAGGAAAGTGCAGTCGCTTGAAGGCTTTTCTTCATGATTAAGTCAGTGATATTCCTTCCCCACTACCTACAGATAAAACAGCAATTAATCCCGCATGAAAAAACGGTAAGTAACTTTAGTCCGAAGTTGTCACGTCTCTGTACAATGAAACTAAAAATCGTGTCACGTGCAGTTTTCGCGCTTACCGAAAAATTTGGGACACATTGTTCTAGCAAAGTATGGTGAAATGGATTTACATATCAACCTTCTGTACAACTCTGTTGCATTGTAACGTAAATGTTAGCAGACTGGTCCTATCCTCTGCCGTATGGTAAAAGGCTAACAGAACCAGCTACAGCCACATTTTACCTAAATCAAATGAGTTACTAAAATTATCAATAGGGTCTATATTAAAGGAAATACAAGCACTAATCGTCTGTGTAGTACGGTACAGTAAAAACATTGGATGCATCATACAATCACCGACGATGCGTAGCCGAAACTGTGTCCGCAATGGGTTTTAAGGGCTACGATTCCAAATCTTGCCACTGAATTTGTCGAATGAATGTAACAAAGAATGAACTCACCGGCAAAACCGAAACAAGAGCACCGGTAACATTCAACCACTTATGGAAATCACCTGAGCCCGAGCTGGAACATTAAAATAATAACAGAAAATGCATAATTGTAGCTTTTCATTAACAAGAATTAATGTATTTTAAAAAGATTTAATACGTGAGAATCACGAGAGTGACTAGTAAGTTCATTTCACAAGGTGCTAAAGTACCTAGTGTTAAGCGAACGTGAAATGGAAGAAATAAGAAAAGCTTCTAAGTTGGAAATTAGAGAATGAGATCAATCATTTACGTAAGCAGTAACATTCACTGGCTATTTGCGGGGGCTGCGCAAGGAATGCACGAAAATGGGAAAAAGCAATTTAAATGACTTCAGGGCAGGCGGCCAAAATATAACGCCATATTTTCGTTCAACTCTGGAGTCTGGAAAGAGATTGTTCTGGAATAAAGGTACGCTTTAATTAGCTGATTAAATGCATGGGCCTGTACAATCTCCTTCTATTTAGCCTCGATGATGGTTGTGTTCGTGCTATCTAGGCTACTACCCCCTAAATCCATCGGGATAAGGTACAATGGCACACAGTGAAGGCTCACCGTTCGCGGAGGCATTCCATGAGGCATCCAGCGGCCTGGGGAACTCGTGAGGTGTCGGAGGGTGGGTGAAGAACCATCAACTCCACTGCCACTGCATAGATGCCCGCGGCCTGAGGGTTCACATTCTCCTCACTGCGCCAGTCGCGCCACGCCGAAGGAACCCCGTGCAGTCCGTACTTCTTCATGACTGTCAATTCAAAGGCGTTCATCCATATTACTCACCGCATTTGCTGATCTCCCTGATGATTTCATTACTCAAACTGCTTTCTTCCCCTGCGACTCTTTATTCGGCTATGGCAAAGAGAAACCGAGCCACGAAAAATAACGTGACCTTGTTTGCTACACCACACCATTGGTTTGCATAGGGGGGTGCGCGAACGAATATGGCCAAATACGTGTACGAGTCATAGTAAATCCTCATACCATTACCGACTTGGATCATTCATTGATCAGGAATCAATCAGATCCTGTCCGTGTACCGATGCGCCTTATCGTTGAGCTATACCTGATTATTCACCAGATCTAGGCGTCCCGATTGGGTGTCTTGACCGAAGGCATCGCCAACGCGCATGTCGGTGTTGAGGCAATTTACACGATTAGTCCACGCGCATGTGATTTAAACGTTATAAACCGGTAATGTCCTATGCATGATCGCCATGCTTGTTGCTTCAAGTATATCAATAATTACAATACAATAAGTGGCAAAGGAGAGGTAGCATCAAACATCAAGGAATTGCTAAAAGATTTTTTTTACTTAAAATATGTTAAGTAATCAATATGAGTTCAAATGAAATAAATCAGCTTGCGATCATCCTCAAAAATCCAGTCTAATTGGTCCAACAGTGAAATGGGAAAATCAGTTTTTCGTTCAACGTAACGGTAGATTGTTTTTCACGGTCCCTTTTATGATGCGACTGCAAAATGCAAGCTCCGATTTTAACTTCTGAGAGCTATCACTACCGTAATGATCCGAGTCGTATTGATAGCTTCAAAAGGAGGAGACTAACCCCCAACAACAGGATGGAGGAGACGCGAGAGATGGGACTCAAGCTCAGGAAAGGCACTCTCAGCAGTGGAGTGGAGAGCGGAAGCAAGACGGATCTCCTCATCGGAACCATAGACCATTCGAAGGCAGTTCGCAAAGTCGGCGTCTGTGGGGACGGCGTCGCAGCCCCCGACTCGCATTGCCGCCTTGTGCAGAGTATCCAGAGTCATCCAAGCCGGGGGTGAAAGAAGGCCACACACTGATAGAGAGTGGGAATTAGCTTATGAAGGACTTCAGTTATTTCGTAACCATGGCGAACGGTATTGAAATCGTCCATCATAGTTGATTTTTAACAAGTGAAATGCTATTCCAACCACAATGATCACCCCTTGTTTATTGAAGAATGATGTTGATTAGAGATCTCACATTCAACCATTTATATTAATTCAACACTGCTTAATAATTTACGATATATTAGGTGCCATTGCAATAAACTGATGTGCAAATTTATTCACACATTCGGCACTATCAGCACACGCCTATTCAGATATGTACAAAGGAAGCGTTTTTATGCTAGTCTTTCTGCTTTGTGTGCGTAATGCATAACGCTCAGAATGATAAAGTTAATATTAGAATGATAGTGATAATATACAACGTACATTGCCTCTTCTACAATTCGACTAACGTTGGTAACATTTTAACCATGTTAGGCATGACTGAGGGCGAATAAGTTGCCTCCTACAGGTAACTCACCATAAGTGGTATGCTTGACTATTTCTGAATTCAAGACTTGTTTTATTGTATCGCAGACAAGAACTCATCTTAACAGTAGCTTGCTTGAGTCTGTCAAGGAAGATGAAATCGATAAAGGCGTATTCCGCACGTTTTTTAGCCAGAATTAATGCTCCGATAGCTGACAATACGAAACCTAACTATTAGAAAGCATGATGGTCAGTTAGTGTTTAAGTGTTACCTTACAGCTATTGTTTTGACTTGTATAGGCTAAGCACTCCTTTATTATGAAAAAGCATAAGCACAAGCTATAACCCCATTTTACGCATAAAATTGTGCATGCCCAGGGAAGCCAATAAACAGACCGCCCTAAAAAATTGCATGAGTACGGAATTTAAGCACTTTTTAGTCTCTTTGAGTACAATTAGTGACGGAGGCTATGAAACTAATACCCACGCCTATTTGAATATCTCCCCAAGTACAGTTACAGACTCCATTAATCAATTCCCCTCCATATCTTGAGCACATTCTATTTTAACTTTATTCGACAATTAGCATTTGAAATAAGGTGTGATTTATACCACACGAACGGTTGTCTAAACACAAGTCTTTCATCCATCCCTTTTTATGCCTTCTACAATCGAATAAAACTGGTACTGAGGCTCACCTTTCTGTTCACTGTTCATGAATGCCTGTGCACACTCGCGATGAGCGTTGGCGCGCTCCGCCAGAGCCTGGTGAACACGCAGAATGCAACGAATGATGAGTTGACAGGTCACCCCGTCCACCTGAGTGGGATTACGCCAGGTCGGCCGCTGCAAGTGTCCCCAGCCGGGGGTGTTGGGGGTGGTTGCGCCCTGCGCTGCCCCCGAAACCGATGCTGCACCACTACTGAAATGGTGGAATTGGCCCCGCAGCAGGAGGAAGCACAGACTCATTGGGTGTGCTGCATGCGTGTAGAAAGAGTGGATGAGCTCTTTTAACAAGAGACAAGGCTGCTACTAAGTAGTAATATGCTAGCTTCTCTCCAAGTAGCCTAGATGTGTAGTGGCAAGGCAGAAGTCATTGCTGTCAATCTCAACTTGATAACCAAATTGCAGTTTTTGATGCAGGCTGTAGTTGCCACATAGCAAATAATTTCAGTTGTTCTATGAAACGACAATAGAAACAGATTAACTGGATGAAAAATGATTGAAATTAGACCAGTAAATGTGCCACTAGAATTTTGAAACAAAGCTCTTATTATCAATTGGTAACTGAACTTTTAGAATATCAGCAGCGGTGAATTACTCATGCCGACCGGCAGGGGTGGCTGAATGATGGACAGGAAGCGAGAAAACGCAAATGGCACCTCCATGGCTTGTTAGGTTGAATAAATTTAATGACTATTAAGAGGTGGTCAGGTATCCAGAAGACTTGGTGGTAGACAAAATCTGTTGAATGGTAAACCGCCACCAGCAATGATGCTAGTGGCATTTAGTCGAATCAGCGCCGTTTTGCACAATAATCAAACTGTCTCACAAAAACAGTAGCTGTTTAGTTGCAAGTCATTTTCGTTTACTCATCAGCTTTCAGCAGGCACCTGTCCTCAGCCTGGTTTCATGGGGACACAACTAGGTAAGCCAACTTCGAACCATTGTTAACGCGTTTGACAGATATAGTGTTTCAAACTATATTTCAGCAATTCATCAAATCTTATCTAACATTTATCCAAGAAGCTCTTGATTTTCTATCAAACAAAGAGTAACATCGTTTGACAGGAAGGAAGAAGATGTGACTCAGAAGCCACATAAGGGCAAGCTATTTGAAGGAAGACATGCTGAAAATCATTAGTAAAGTGACAGAGGCTATTTTACATGCCTCTCAAATAGTTTAAGGTATTAAAAAGAAAATTTAGTAGAGCAAGCTTTGGGATGACGATTATGATTGATGCCTCACAGTGGAGCCTGAAGAGAGGTGCGACAATGTCACAGAAACGAGCAAGTTGAAGGAGAGGCGGTGGATTATCAAGGAAGGAGGTGAAGATAATCTCGAGGACGGGAATGAGACGAAGGACGATGTGATCGTAGTAGACCGGTTGGCAGGGCCGTCGGCGCAAAACCGTGGGAGGAGATGCACTGGCATGGCCGTTGGTGGACGGAGGCAGGAGAATCACCTGCTTCTCTGGGAGAACCGTGTGCAGACGCTTCAGCAATTCCGGCCACCGAGGGCTTGTGAGAATATTAGATGAATTGGGAGCCTTAGAATATAAGCAAAATGGTTATCAAATGCGTTTAATTAAGTTTAATTGCCTCAAGAACTATGAAAGATATATAAATACCTCTACGTGATTTAAGTCCACTTTTAATGCAACGAGAGAAAATTATCCTTATTGAACGTCAAGATCCACACCGCTGATTTCAATTCGTCATGCAGTGGACATCTTCCATGGCACAAATGTTTTCGAAGCTGTTGAAAATGTTAGAAGTCGGATGCTGCTATACTATTATTTCCCGTTCAATTATCTGGGAGTCTGTGAAGTGCGGGCAATGTTTCAACGTCGTCCACGAACATAATTGTTTGTGACAAATTCTCCCTTGATTTAGTGAATAACAGGCTAAAATTCTCCACAAAGTGTGGTAGAATGGGGTGCACTAGACACAGTTTATCCAAGTTTCCGGCAGGTTTTGAGAAGAGACTCTCGGGGCTTAGAAGGTGATCACCACTTACTTTACTGGTGATTTTGACATTGGTTTCGCTGATTCAGAGCACCACTTTCTATTCTCGCTTTTCATTCCAAGAGAACATGGTTCGTCAAAAATGGTCATCAGCTGCGCGGTAGGAGACCCGAAAATTTCCTCCTATCCATCTATTATTTCTCACTCCTCGCAACCACAATCACAGAGGTTTAAAGCGCTCAGAAATCCACCATACCATTAATAGTCATTTTGAAAGTTCACATACAAGAGGTATTGATTCCTTAAACCAGCACAAACTGCAACGAAGAGGAATTTTCGTTCCATAAACCCTTCACTGCGATATTTTCGGTTCCAGAGATCGGTTCAACAGAGATTGAGTTGCGATTTCAACGAAAAAGTTGCCAAAATTTTGTGGTCATTAATCGCAAAACGTACATGCTTCCTCAGGTCTACTTTTGTTACAAACTCAGAAGGAAATAACAGTATTGCGACAATACTGGAATTTTCGATTTAGAGTGTATTCATACTATAGCACAAATTCAAACATCATCCAGCAAATGAGTTCGCGTACCTTCATAAAAATACAATTGTATAGGAAAAAACTACTTTGTCTCAAAACAAAGGGTCTAAATAAAAGCATTTAAATCTTCAAAAAGAGTTCTATTCCAGAAACGATCAACAGTGTGCTATGGCAAAAATAATAATTTGATAATTTTATTTAGTGAATACAAATTTGAACCATTCATACTTGACGACAAGAAGAGAATTAGCTTAGAGTCCAGAAGTATCACTTACAATAGACTGGATATGGTTAGAAAGTTAGCATCTTGAAAGCGATCAGTCGCAATCATGTGCTTTTAACAAAGAAAAAAGAAAATGGATTGGTGAAAGAACTTACAAAATTCCCCACCACTTTGATAGATTCCACGAGTTGGGGGCACTGAGTGATTAGGAATATGGCAATGCTGTGGACAGCAGCAACATCAATCGGCGAATAATTCGAACGAACGAACTGTATCAGAAAGGACAGGGGTGAATTGGCAATGATCAGCTACCAAAAAATAAATAAGCAGGTCTTGTTCCGCGAGCAATCTACAAGGCACTCTGCACATAAGCAATAAGTAACCTTTGTTTGAAGGACATATTCACATAATAGGAGGATTCTCCTACAGAGCAAAGTGAATGGAACGCATAAAATTACGATTTCATGGTTTTATGGCTAAAATCTAACCTTATTACTATCAATCAATACACCATGTAGTTTTCCGGAATCCTTGGCGAACATGATATTATAATAAAAGGAAGATAGTTCACTTACAAGGTACAATAGCAGACGGTCCATTGTAATGATTCCATACTGAATACAAAAAGTAATGATAGCGGATAGCATCTACAGCAAGACGAAGAAACACAAGCGGTTGGTAAACACGTCGGCTGGACAAATGGGTGAAAGGTGAGGCTGTGAATTGACTCACTTTACAGGGCGCGCAAATGTGTGTAGGTAGAGGCAGGTTTTGTCGTTCCAGCTCCTCAAATTTGCTTATTGCTGTAATCAGGTACTCGCACAACACTTTCACCTGAGCGTTCACTATTGCCGGTGGCAACTGCAAAATGTTGCTAAATAGGGTGTGATAAAGACCCTTTTGCACATCAACTGAGGAGAGTTAATTACGGTTCTTTTCAGTACAAATCGGTTCTCTTATTAAAATGAAAACCCAATCACTATACCAGTCTTGCGATTAAAATAATTACCATAAAACGTGGATGTGAGAGTGGTAGAAAAGTGAAAAAATATCTTAAGATGTCTTTCAATGGAACTAACTTTAAAAGAATAAGCGACAGGGGCGTTTTCCCATTGATAATGGCGACGAGAATAACGCTAAAATGGGAGAATATAACCAACGTTCTGCTTGAAAAAAGCTGTGAAAATGTCACAAAAGATAAAACCCACCAAAAACTACTTTCATTGCGTAGGTTTAGTTCGGTCCATTTTAATTCACCATTATCGCCTAAGGAAAATTAGACTTCAAGTTAAAAAGTGGACAATAAAGTTTTTAATTAGCGATACATTTAGCAATCTGAAAAACTTGACGAAAATGAGTTGGGAGGGTGCGTACCTGACTCAGGTAGGAGGGAATTGTATAGCTCGTGCACGGAGAGCATAAGCCGTTCACGGAGAGTAAAGTAGGTTTCAGCTTCGGACGTGTTAGCGACCTCTGTGTTGAAGATGGGTGCCTGGGGCGGAGCAGCGAATGGAGGAGTGGCAGGCAGAAGATCGGCGAAGCGCGCAATGACCGCTGGAAGTTGGAGGCGACCGCATTCCTCGCCAAAAATGGCCCGCGTCTCCGCCTGCATTGTCATAAATTGTTCCTTTATTTGGCATCGCATCACCTGCTCCTCTACCTGGCAACGCATATCACCCGCCTCTAGGAGATCTAATGCAGAGGGTTGACGGAGGGGAAACATGAGCGAGTAACAAAAATCTAGAGCATGTGCATATACATGCAACTAATCGTGATTTTGCAGTCTTCGCATTCAATCTACCTCTCAGTCTTTGGGCAACACCAGGGCATGACCAGACGCATATGACATCAACAATTCTCGTGTAGCTGAGTATGCATGAATGCCACCCATCCTCCCTGCCAACGGCTATTTTAGGCAAAACAAACAGCTTTTCCTCCTTCGAATGATACTCAAGTAGACAGCACGTACCCAAACAAAAACGCTATAAACTACTGGGAATACTCCTCTTTATTGAATAAAAACCAGGCTGTTGTGTTTGGTTGAGCACTGAGCCAAGTGAGCTAATCTTTCGAAATTCATAGCATAGTTCGCACCGGTAATGTAAAGGCCAGCGATATCAACCGTAACCCTGTCCCAGATGGCGGCAAGAAGATTCATTAATTAGTCCATGATCTGTTTCAGGGAAATTACCACAGTATCTTATTGAATTCTACTTCGCTCATGCAAGTGCCAATGGTTGGAATCACATTCGCGATACATTTGAAGAAGATGGAAACATACCATAGGCACAAACGGCCTGAAGAGTGGAGAACAAAATGACGCGTGAAGTCACCTCCCGTGAATGTGAGTGAAGCGGCAGTTGTTGTTGCGAGAACTGTTGTTGAAGTGAGGAGGATTGAAGGTTGTAGAGGATGCAGTCAGGCGTGAGTATACGTCGAGAAAATTGAACGATAATCCAATCGAGTCTTGAGACGACGGCAGAAAAAGGGCATAGGTCATAAATTCCACACAACATCTTGTTTAAAAATGATTCGATAGTGGCATTATATATCAGGGCTCATCCAAATTTGGTTCACTAGCAATTTGCAGTAGCTTTTGTTAGAGATTTCTTCATCGACGGAATAAGCAAAATTATTGGTAGTCGTTCAATTAAACCCTGTGCATGGAAATGGAAACAATTTTGACCAAATTGATAAGATTTTATGGTATATTTTCGTAATATGACTTTTAATGCATTCTAGGCACCAACCTGAATATACTGACATACCCCAACTTCTCTGAGTATCTGAGAGATAATTTGCAAAATTACACCACGGTTGAGTAAGAATAAAAATTTGAAGTCATCAGGTTTTGATTTTTCCTAAACTAATAACAAGTGTGAATAATAGGGTTTATCATACGCGTAGACGAGTTCATGGGACTCCAAATCCACTCTGAGGAAGAGTTCATCACGATAGCTGAGACGGTGCTCCGCAGGAAGAGCCTCAACCAATCGGTGACCGAGAAGGTCAAACCAAAATGTGAAGGCGTAAAAGTCGTCATTTGTTGGATGGCATTCGTCCCTAGCCGTGCCGTCTTCATCAACCGGATGATAGTAGAGAGGAATATTTATGGGCCCACTTTCAAGCAGCCAACGCCGATATATCTCTGAAGTGACGAAGCAACAATTGGATGGGGGTATATCGTATTCAAATTCTTACGGGAATATAGCTATCTAGGGTTTGCTCTGATAGTGAAGGAACTCAAAGACGATCTTTTCTTGGTCGAAACGACACGTCTTGTGCGCACTCTAACACTTTCTTTGAGACTTGTGCGTAAATTCGTGATGATGGCATTTAACTCACCCCGAATGAGAATGATAAGGTTTTTCTCCACCTGGTAAGAGAGGAACCGACTGAATGTCTCTAGAGTGGCTGGCGACGTCAGATAAGCAGGTCCTGTCTCACCACACGGCGGCTTCGTCATTTCGCTCAGCTTTTGGCGCATCTCGTTACAAAATCTGAGGATTTAAAACGGAGTCAGTCAAAGTGTGCTGATAGTTATTGAGTTAAAATGACTTAGAAATAGTCAAAACTACATCATTTGGAGGTGAATGGACATCTTTTGGATGAGTCGGTGAGAAAGGGGATTAAGACGGCCGGCCCCACTCAACCCGTAGGGCAGCGTGAATGTACCGTTGTTGAGTGGAAGACCACCCCCAATTCCCGGAAGAGGGTCGTTGCTTGGCAACCAAAAGGAAGTCACCACGCTCCGCGTGATTTGCAAATTTTCGTTTGGTGAATCTATATGTAGAAAACGGAAATGCGCATCGAAATTCGAATTCCGCAAATCATCAAAGAACTCACAAGGCGATAAGCCCCTTAACTATCACTATTACTCCTTTTCTCAAAAAAGAAGAAAAACTGTGAGATTACCACAATATTCAATTGATACACGAAGTTTGCATATCCAAAAAAAGTTTAAATGCACGATCAAATAAAAATTGTGCAAGAATCGAAGAATCAACAGTGAAAAGTGTTACTCGGGGCTTGATGGAAAGTAAATCAAAAACCACAAAGGAAAATAAATCAGCAGTATTACACCTTAGTGAGCATCAAATGTCCGGTCACCTTAACTATGCGTGTTTACAAGGTTGAGATTTCGTTACCATTATTCCTTATTTGAATCGGAAAACTCATTTTATTTGTGATCATTTCTTAATTTGTTAGCTAATTCAAGCCAATAAACGCACACTTCAAACATAATTTCCATCGTAAAACTGATTTAGAACCGGTAACCCTAGGTACCAGTTTTCTGACTGAAAAGTAACTGATAAAATTAAATTACACTTTTCGAAGATTTGAATGAGTTTTGTTGTTTTCAGTCTTGAAAAAAGAGAAGGTGAGTCTAAGTTAGATAATGAACTGAAAACGACAAGAAGGGAAGGGAATTAGCAACGGAGTGGGACGTAGTAGTCATTATAGGCATTAAGAATGACATAGAGAAGCTGGAGTGATCAATTAGGCTACATTAATTGAACAAGCAATTACTAGACGGAAAAAATTTATTTCCCCAATTCCATTGATTAGGCATCCACAGCAGAAACGCCATTTCTATTACGCACTATATTTTTGCATGCGATGAATTGTGGTGGACTATTTTAGACGAATGGCAAGCCTTTCTGGATGAGATGTTGACACATTCGACCGCCTTACGGAGTGGAACCTGTGGATTATATTCAATGCCTGCTGCGATCAAATGAAATAGTGAAGGACCTTGTGACCAAGCATAACTTGACGTTATTCGGCAGAGGTGTGTCAATTCCTTCACAAAACAAAACCAACTCCCCCATGTCGCACTGAAACCCTGTTGAAGCTGCACGACCTGAACACTGAACTAGTCCCAGATATCTATCACAGTTTTCTTGCAGCTTTAAGGGGGTTTCAATTAAGTGGATTTTGGTGAAAATGCATCGATGTTACTCGGCTTTTACTCTCTAAAATTGTTCGCTGTCAATAGCTATGAACAAATTGGCATACCGATGTCGTCGACAGCATATTTAACGCATTCTTTGGTCGATTTGTCTACACTTCAAGGGGAAGAGATGCAACCAAATCATTAGCTCAAGTTCAATTACTGAAAACGACCCAGTATGAGAAATATATAAGATTGTGAAGATGTAAGCAACAACTTACAAGTATTAAGCGTAATGATGAACTTAAGCCAAGAGAGAGACTGAGCCACCTGCGGCGTCTGAGTATCCACCGAGTTTTCACCCGACTCCACGGCGCTGCCACAGCCAACACAGGATTCTTTGAGATGCTCCAACCAGCCGGCAATTTGTGCCTGCAGGGGGTAGAGCAGAGGTGGCATGGTTCGAGGCAAGTGGCACTCCTTCACAGTACGACCACCGGACCCTCCACCGACGCCCACCTCCTCACCCCCACTGTTCATTTGCAAAACCATCTCCCAGGCACACGCTGCCGCCACCACCAGGTGTGTCATGTCCTCATCATCTCGCCTACCGCTCATTCCCCCACTTTTTAAAGCCGTCGTGGACCTCTTTGGAACTGTATGTAAAGACGAAAGAGGACTTCCACGGTGCAGCTTTTGTTAACAAATTCAACCTACTATCTTATTGCCCACCTATCTAACCCTTTCCCATCACTATCAGGAGTACTTTGAGTGCGATAAGTTGGACTTAACATCGCACTTTTAACCAAAAAACTATGCTGAACTAAACAAATACCTCAATCAAAATGATATCAAGACGAATAGACTCTCTTGTGTGCAAAGCAATACATTTGGAAAATCACATCCGATGTAAAGGGCTAAAAGCATAGACACCAAGGGGTTGGAAGGCCTGTAAACCAAAGTTAACATTTGAAACTTATCCAATTTAAATGTTTAATTAACTAACTCAAATTCAGCTCCACAAACAACAAGTTGTTTAAATAGCATGCAATGAACGAGATTCTGAGGTCTGATACTTTCTCGCAGACCAAAAAGTTGAAGATAACCATAAATTCCTTTAAAGTACTGTGAAAATCTTCTTCAAATCTTTCCAAGCGAAGACTACACAATGCAGTTTGCCCAACAGAGGGAGTGCCTTGATGAATTCCACTGAAAGTCAGATTGAATGTAGTTGTTGAATCCAGAAGTCGTTTTTATGTTGCAAAATTTGTCACATTTTTAAAGGTGACTCGAAAAAACTGGAATGTTACATAGCATTTACTTTTACGCAATATTGCTACTGGTGTTACATGTGATTCAGTTAAACCGTACGTGTATACGGCATAGCATTTTGGCCTTTTTCTGTATATTGTAACATCTCGCCAAAATATCATCAAAACTCCGTGGTTATCATTTGGTAAAATACAGTCCACTAGATGCCCAATCTTCAAATTGAGTGCCAACTTGCTGGCCCAGTAGGAATGACTCACCAATATGGGTTTTCTACCTCAAACGTAAAGGATGTTTACGTCTTCAAAATCCTTATATTCTGTGTCCTGGATTGTAAGTGGATAGATTTCTGAGCAATAATTAAATTCGAAAATTAGTACCTCAGCCATGAAACTCACGAAGTAAATCCGAATCCTCTGGAGAAGACTCCTCGTCACTTGTAGTGTCGTTGCTATCGTCACCAACACCTTCATCGTAATAATCAGCACCATTAATAACAGCACCAGATGCTGTTGTAGCCTCATTTTCATCCATGAATTCTCCGCCTTCTTTTCCATTTAACTCCGGTTTAGCGCCATCAGGAAGCCGGCTGCCAAAAAGGCGGTCGGGTGAGAAGAGAACGAAGCGTAGGTCAGAGCCGTTAAGACTCATCGCCTCCAGTGTCTTCAGGACTACGGGACGGTGTCGGGCGGCCCAGCGGTCCAGGTCCTCCGTCCATAGCTTCTCCAGACGTTGCATTGTTGCGTTGTCCAACTCGTCAGCCTCAGGGAAAAGTTGGTCGAAGAGGTGCAGGCACGACACGAAGTCGGTCAACTAGATGGTAGTGTAAAACAGACACACTAGGATTACTAGGAAGCTGCAACTAATACACCTTGGAAGATTCGTCTCTTATTCACAGCTAATAACGCACAAAAGCAGTTTTTTCCCCTAAAATGATCTAAAAACCACTTTTTCGTGATGATTCTTATCACGATAGCACCGTTTAATAAGATATCAAGCACGCATTGAGTTGTTAAGTACAGAATGTCTGCCTTCGATTAAAAACACTAAGCTAATCGAATTACGCACTTAGTGTTATTGACAATTCTGTGGATCAAAAAAGATGGGGAACTGAACATCCCATATTTAATCGTAGACTGTAACAGAAAAAAAAACAGTCCGTCCATACACGTAGCTTGGATACAATAAAGACAACGTTTCCGGCAGCGTTTAAGCGCAAAATGGAATGGGTCATATTCAAAGAGACATAAAAAAGTCAATTTGGTGGTAATGGTGAAACAGACCTTATTCTTTTCAACGAAGCCCGACATACATACGAGGGTAAACCACATGACAAAGTGACGGGAAATAGGCCAAGTTCTCCCAGCGATCTGTACGAAAGACAAAATTAGCTCCAATATCTTGTTAACGAACTGTTATTTTTGAAAGGAATGTTTAACCTGATTTAACAAAACCTATTTCATTGAAGGTTCCATACAACTAGAAAGCTACCAGAAGCATTGAATAATATTTCCAAGTGTGTGAATGTTTAAAACTGCTCAAACAACGATGGAAGGGAACGACATCCACTTTATAAATTCACAAGTAATAGCGCACAAATTCTCTTAAATTTTGTTCAGCTATATTGCGGTTAGGCAAAAGTATTTGCATAGACGCCTAAAATAAAACTTCTTAACGCTAACAAACGTTAATGTGTCACTTTGCAGTAATTCAAGAAATTCGCAGATTATGACTACCCAAGCTATACTGATCAGGGCTACTACTTGTACCTGTCTTCATTATCAACAGAGGTAAATTGATTTAGATGCAAATCCAAAACCAAACTATTTCAGATAAAAAAATTTTTTCAGTGTCTTTAAAATATCTGGTTAAGCACGCCAATATCAAATTGCAGTATAATATTCTTTTAGAATTTTAAAAAGCTACCTAGCTATCTTTCTATCCCAAATGTTTCAGTACGCTTCGATGACTTTAATGACTCGAATAGCTAAATTTTAGTCCTTTTAAAGAAGGCAGTCAGGAACCTAGCAATACATATTCTCAGATCTTTAGGGTAAATTTACCACCTTGGAATTGAGTTCGGAGATTATGTCGTTGAGGCGTACGACTCGGTCTATAACGAAGCAAATCACGAGACCAGCCAGGTGACTGAATATTCGGATGGTCCAATCGGTGCACTTCTCCTCCTCTGTAATCTCCATCACCGAGAAGATCAACTCACTTATTGCCAGACCCACCAGCGTCATGTGTGGCCCCTATGTAACGCAGAAACAGGTAGTGCTACAACGGGTAAGAACGTCGAAACATTATCACCACCTTGAAGAAGCGATGGTACAGGCTCACAAGTCCTATCACTGCATATTTTGACTTGTTCAACCCCTCAAAGCACCGTTTTAATAAAGAATGGAATATTTCTCTTTTATCCAAAACGAGGTCCCTACCGCTGAGATTGGAAAGCACTAGAAAAAACTCAATGGTGAATCGATGGCAGGTGTTGTCAGTTCACTGATTATGGTTATGGTTATTTGCTCTTCCATTTGTGGTCAGGCAGAGGTGAGTCAAAAAATAAACGCTTTCATATGTTTTGCGTACCACTAAAAGTTAAAGGGCAGCACATTAAAATGGATCGACTGGTCACTACAAAAAACGGTAAGGCAAAAAATACATCGAGTGTGGAAAGCACAGGCATTGAAAAGTCACATGGAGAGTAGAAAAGAATCTCATTAATAGAAACGAAAAGTGGATTACACAGATCGAATTCGCCTCGTGCAGAAGCGTTCAGAGAAACCGTCAAAGACGTGTGAAAAGCCGTGATTTGATAAGTTTTTGGTTTGAAGAAAACTGAGAATAACCAAGACAGAGAGCGGCCGAAATCAAACTTAAAAGTTATAAATGTCAAAAAACCAAGCGCCTATATTATTTTATCCCTTAAAGTGAATTTCGCTTTCAACCAATCACCAAGGTAAAACGCAATTATCATACCATATAAAACAATTAGCTTCCGGTATGAGGGATGTATACCATCAGTATCAATAAATAGCCCAAGACATTGGCCTATAATTGAAGGTCCTTGATGGAAAAATGCTTCAGTCGCAGAGCACCAGATCACGTGTATATCAAGCTTCTTGAAACAAATGTTTAGTTTAACTAACATATTCCCAACACTTTTGAGTGCAGTTACAAGAGTGAAATCTATGGGTGGCTATTTTGAGTAGTGTATCGAAGAGTAAAGTGGAAGGAAGTTAAAGCATTGCTCCTAATCATTTCTGCTAACTTTCGATCACAGCAGATCTCATCAATGCTTTGGACTGGACAGTGAAAGCAAACGATTTTTGCTTATCTCAAACCTGCTGTGCACAAAAAACAGGTAATTAAATGAATTCTTTCCAATCGCGATGAAAAAGTGAGGGGATGCCTACCATGGCTTGGCATTTGTCGCAGGCGAGGAGACTGGAGGCCAGTTGGGTGCAGCGCAGTTGACCCAGCAAGTCACAGGCGAGACCCAGTTGACGGGTTTTGAAGGCGGGTGGGTAGAGGATAGCCTGACGCAACATGGAAAGGGTCAGCTCGGCCGGATCCAACCGAAAACACGGATGATTTTCCAGAGTTATGCCCGCAATCGGCACCATTTCCAACTCGTCTGATCGAGGAGGAGACAGTACGAGCTTAAGCTATCAATAAAGCTCCACTTGTCCACATTTCGCCGCATGGACTCTGCGACGAAACATTATTTTAAAAAACTTGTTTCAAAATGAAGACAATTCAAATGCAACCTTTATTCATGTTCGATAATAACCAGAAGATTATGGCAATCTAAGTAATATTGAAGATTACTGACAGCTAATGAAATATACGCCTCGAATGCATATGAAATGATCGAGTATAGTGGGTCCCATAATATCATGGGCCTACCACCTTTGTCACTAGTGAAATCAGTCCAACTTTTCTCTTAGTTGAGCAGGAAGAACTAACGTAACAAAGTGCATCTGTAAATAAGTGGTAGACATAAACTATAAAATCAAATATAATTAAAAAATCCATTAGCCAAATGTGAAATCACGGCAAGTAAAGGGGTTTCTCAGTAAATTTTTGGCCACAACCAAGCATACCGACTAAAAATGACCTTGCTTTTGTAGTATATTTACAACTTTAGTCCATAAGATTTAGCAGTTACCGATATTAATAAAAAACATTGTACTATCAAAAGGTGTACAAAACGGGCGAGGCACATACGATAGGAATACAAAATTCGTAGAGGGAAATCAAAGTCCGCCATAAATCTCTCGACTTCGCCTTCAATGAGCTGAAAAGACAGAAAGAAAATTGAGGATAAAATTAGACAATACAGAATGTTGCTCAAAAGGAGACTTACTCTATTAGGGCGGATGCTTTTGTCCCCTCTGAATTTATTAAGCTCATACATGGTGAAGTAGGCAGGCAGGAGGTTTATTTCACGACACAGGAGTACTTGTATCAACTGAATAAAGGAAGTATAGTATTAGTTCCAATACAACAACAGGTCCGTAAAGAATGAAGATCGACATGGAAGCACTCCGCCCCTCACCGTATTATTCCACATTTCTCCATTTGCAAAAACGCCCTCCTTTCCCCCACTGGCAAGTCACATTTAAGACGTTGTGAGTACAATCAGTAGTCTTATCCAAGCATTATATGACCGAAGCATTTGGTTTCAAGGCACAATTGGAAATATTTTAACGTCAAATCGGGACATTTCTTGTTTACTGGAGCACCAGTATATACCGCTCTGCGCCCAAAAAAACTAATTTCGGGAGTGTAAAACCAACAGGCTATGCAGGATAGGTAGATGTTTAAAAAATGCCAAAAGTGGTTGGCTGAAGCAGAAAAGCAAAAAACTAATCTTACTTCAACAGCCGGGTTGTAGAAGTGTATGAGCGGTGCATCTGAGGTGAATTGGAAGGACTTATCAATGGTCTTGATGAAAACTAGTCGATTATTCTTGTAATCGAGATAAAAGACAAGCTTCAGCAAAAATCTGAACACACTCCGGAAGAACACCTGGTTATCTACCGTTAACTCGTGTCTTGATAACAGAGCATTGGTTACATGTCTAAAAGTAGAAGTTGAGTGTGGGTATAAACTAATTTATACAAAATATCAAAAAACAGTTCTATGACTAAGTCTATCGCCGCAAGATAGAGAATGTGCACAAATATAGCGGTAGATAGCAAACAATATAATTAAGAGGTGTCAACTGGGCTTTTCTCCCTAAAAACTATTTCAGAATAAACTCCGCGACTAAGTACGAAAGCAACCGCAACTACTAATTAATAGGCAGCGACGCATACAAAGGTGTGAAGAAGCCACGTTCAATCCCACGGTCGAGGGACCAAAGGAGCCTCAGAGTCACACCTTCGTTTTGAAGGGTGGCAATGACCTCCACAAAAAGATCAAGGATTTGCTTCAGCGGATCGAAGGAGTTGACATTTACATCATGTCCCGTAGGAGCACTATTGGAAGTTTTCGGAGGCAGTCGCATTAGGTCACTCCACAGTCTGTCAAGTCGAATCACGTCCATGTTATAGATACTGTCATGATCAGGTGGATAAATGGAGTTAGAGCCCACTTCTAGTAAAATTGAGGCCTGTTTGAAAGCAAATAATTCATACCCATGTTTCAACATCTTTCTTGACAAATTTTGAAAATTCAAGTATAATTTGCCACACTTTAACCTTGATTTACAAATTTACAAACATAAAGATCATAAGAAGTGTTGATGGTACACACTCAAACGTTATTTCAAGTAAAGTTTGGAAGGCAGTAGAGAATAAAGACAACGTCATAAAAAACAACACGGACCTAGACAGACAAAACTTACTTCTAATTCACGAATACATTGTGCGATGAGCTGTCTCTGTGCATTCATGTACTGCTGGATGCTAAAAATATAGGCCACACGTGCCAAATATTAATCAAAAATTGCCAGAAAAAAGAAACTTGATGGTTTACATGACAGATACAATGGGACAGCACCATATTTGCAGGTTTAAAACGGTATACAAGCAAAGTGAATTTTCAAGGAACATAAAGAGAGCAAATCCACTCAGAAGGACTCTGAAACGCGCCAACTTCCAAATAATTTGACTTAGCACTTAAAAGAGGGAAAATCAAAACACTTGCAGCGAGACAAGGCATCGATGCGTACTGATGATTGTAAGGATTGGTAGAAAACTACCTGACAAAATTCTGCATTGAGACGGTAAAAACGTCAGCAACTACGCACTCAAATTTTGAAAGCGGGTGCATTATCATCAATAAATATAAAACGAGTCGCCTGAATCCCTTTTTGACATTTATGGTTCATGTTGATTTTTAAGATCCTGATATTCCTTTTGCATAAATTTCATAGCAATGACTGTGCATCACGAATATCTAATAAGTTGACTAGTGGCAGTGAGGTAAATTTTAGTTAAATAAACTGGGTAGATTAAAGAAGATTGCCAACGTTTTTCACTTTCCTAATGGGCTAACGTTCTTGCGAGATGCAGGCTTAACTGGGGAAGTCTTTTTCAATGCTGATTAGTGAGACAAACTAGGGCGAAGCTCTAGTTATTGTTGTCTGTGATATACACGCTTTCAAGGCTCCACAAAATTTTACAAACTGAGGTATTTTGCAATGGATTTTAACGTTTTTAAGTCATATATTTCCTCATTTACCTCTTGTAACTCGATTTTGCATGCACTTGCAAATTCAGTTTCCGGCGTCTTCATTCTTTGCCTTGTTGCGTTTCTATCAGCTTACTAATTACTTTAATGCATTTCTGTGTAAGATACGCCTCATTTTGTTTACTTGTTCATACTGCGATTATATAATCACGTAAACGTCCAAACAGCAATGTGCATCCTATTCACTTTACAGATTATATTCAAGTGAAATTGATCCCGCTTTATTTTTGATGTTTGTACAGTTGTCCAATTTTAAGCCACGTATCTCGCCTATTCTTTAAAGGTACTGAAGTGCGATTGATTGTTTGGTCGTTCTAACACAGAAACGCAAATCCATATATTTCAAAATGTTCGCAGAATCTAGTGGTTTTGATAAGAATTTTTTGCTTATTTCGTATACAAGCGATGAACATCAGGCAACAGAGCACGCTTGGTCTCAAAGTTCCTCGGGTTGTGAAGTGCAGTCTACCTCATCTGACCAACAAAATCAGGTAGCCGTTGTGCAAGCCTTAATGGATCTCGATGCTTCTGCGCGCATTTCGTATCCCGGCGCCGATGCATGCTCAAAACAAAATCTCGCATTCGACGTACCTCAAAAGCTTGAAAGAAAGTCATGCAACTGCGCGAAATCCCATTGTTTAAAGTTATATTGTGAGTGTTTCGCAAAGGGTCAGTCTTGTGAAGGTTGCAATTGTTCGAATTGCATGAACAATTTTAACTTTGAAGATGATCGAAGGAAGGCAATCAAATCAACACTTGAAAGAAATCCACTAGCATTTTATCCAAAAATAGGTAACGTTAGAAATATTGACGACTGTATTCTAGGCTCCTCCGTAAGGAAACATTCGAAAGGTTGTAATTGTAAGAGATCGAACTGCTTGAAGAATTACTGTGAATGCTACGAAGTAAATTCTCTGGTTCCTTAATATTGAAGGCCAAAATAAGTTGTTCAGACCTTTGCAAATGTAGAGGATGTAGAAATTTTGTCAAACCTGTCCATCCTGATCCGGTCCAAAATATTGAATCTGGGCACTTTTCTCGATTTTGTAAAAGGTCAGCGAATAAAGTAGGGCACTCACAACGCAATATTTATTTATGGCATAGTTATACGCTTTCCTCAAAGGTTCTTCGCGGCATGTATTACATCCGAAGTAATTGAGGTCGCCTGCTCTTGCATGCTTTCTCAGTTGCTTCTGGCCGATCACCGTAAAATGTCGGACACTGACCAAGAATATGTCGTACTTGCCGAGTTTGCTAAATGTCTTGATCACATTTTGGATTCCGTCAATAAGGTACATGAAGTAAAAGTAGTTATTATGTGAATTTGTTATCATAATGTAGTCGTTTCCTCTGTTTAGCTTCGAAATGCGCGATTTTCTGTTGGAAACTACGGAAAAGATGTGTTAGCTCTCTCCTCGTCCACTAATCTGCCGGCAGCCGAAAAGGATGTCGCTTGTGTATATCCCTCGTATCCCTTAACAAGCGTTTCATACACGTTGGCATCGGAGTTTTCAACGTCACTACCTTATCCTGCTGGCAACACCCCTGATGACACGTGTGGCTCGGCTACTTTTCAGGGCGTTGTTTCAACGGATCAGCCATACGTTAAATACGGTGATGTAAGTTCTCTCTGTCAAGATACCCAATGGTTGTTTTATCGCATTTTTTCACACAAATCTCCTAATATACTATTTTGCAATGCTTTAAAAGTGATTTGTTTATATCTCTTTGGTCAGTTTCTAATTGTAGGCATCCCTACACCTAAGAATGCGTTCAAATTAAGGGTTGAACTTCACCGCGTTTGTCAAATGGCCACATTACCCTTAAAAACATGTATTTTACGGCTGCCACAATCTAGGTATTTCTGTTCATGAACTGTCTCCGGCATTTCGCAGTGGAAATTGCTTTTCTGTTATCCTTTTCCTAAATGACTTCTATGTCTGCATTTCCATGCCGTTTCATTAGCGTTTTATTATATGGATTAAGACTGATTAAAATAGGTAGGTGAATGAAACAGTATAAGTGATTATGTTAATAAAGTAGCGCGACATTCGGCAGGAAATCAAGATTCCTGCAAGAATGAGGCTTTAAAAGTTGTGATAACTCTAATAAATCAAGACTTTTATGGGTTTATGCAAATAGCAAGTTACGCTGGCTGGTAAGTTACTTCCTGGTATAAATTAGGTTGATTAAATCACTTTTGCACGATTTTGGCTGCTTAATTGCTTGCTTAATTTATCTTTAGTTTTTGGATAATGGGGAATTGCGCATTACGTAGATCATTTTGAATTTTTACCTAACGAATAGAAATTTTCCACCCTATTAATTATTCTTCTGGACATAGAAGTGTGTTGTTGAATGTTTTTGAATGTTAAAGTGTCATTGTTGGTGAAAAATCTATTCAGAGATAAGTTTAAGCACTTTCTTGCTTTATTTTTATCCAGATACTTAGGTTTGCAACTTTTTTCCAGTTTCCTGTCTCATCAGAAATGTCCAAGGTCTCGCTGCCCCAATGTGATCCTGATTATTCAACTTTCAAAATGGTTTTGTCGCCAGGCGCGGGTGACGCACCCAAAGTTGTGGAAGTATCCGATCTAGCTGAAACGATAAAGGTTGGGTCGAACGGTCAAACCGTTCTCATGCCCTACGGCATGCTCTCTCCAAGTCTATCTGAAATTCACAGTTATCTCTTACCAGCATCTTCACCACCACAACAACTGCCAGCTTACCCGCTTAATCGCCAGACCTTCCTCATGTCCTCTTCCACCGGTACTGTTTCAAGCGAAGATGCTATCTGTTATCCCCTCACCTATTCAACGGAGGCTGATCTCGCTGCAGCCGCCATAAGCACTGAAGTCGATCCCACTCTCGCTGCTGACCGTCCCGATGATTGCGATTATGGCAACAATGTCGATGAGAATGGTGGTGATGATTGCATTGGAGCTGCTGAAGAAAGTTTCCATCCGAACGCGCTTGATCTGGCTTGCTACTCATTTTCGACCCCTTTCGATCTAACTCCAACGGAATTTTAAGTGCCTGTGATTCTTGTTCCCGTCCTTCTATTTCTTCCCATACCAGCGCCTCCACTTTAAATATTTCAGTTTACTTTTATTTATTTCACTACTCTACTATGCAATCCCACACATGCTCACTAGCATACATATGTGCAAGTCTTTCGGGCAGTGCCATGTGTATAAGTTGGACTTTTCCTCGTTTAATTTATCAATTTTACCGTTATGCATTATTAAGTACTAAAATAACCCTACCTTCGAACTTAATTGTAGTACTTTCGCAAGAAAAATTTAAAATGTGGAGATAATTTTATATGTGATAGGGGCTGTACTTCATCCTCTATTCTTCTTCCTTCTTCGTGACCTCTGTCATCAGTCATCAACACCCGCAATGTTTTCGGTTAAGTGTGAGTAAAACATGGAAAGTAAGTCCGGCTAATTCCTGTTTTTGCAGACGGATTATGTGTTCCTCGAATCTAGCTTTTTCCATTGCATAAAATTGAACGTACGTTTAATTAGTCGAAAGAAATTTGACAAATTACCTATTTCTACCCACGCTTTACCATCTTTCGACACGCGGAATATGTCGAATGATCCATAGGGTGTGAGCATTAAGTCAGCTCATATCAAAAAATGTTTACTGAATTCTAGGATATTTTGAAATATCCCGAACAAATTGATGTCTAGATGCTTTCATTATACTTTATTTATGAAAGAGTAGGTAGCCCAAAACTTTAAGAAAATGTGTTACGATTGTGTTTAAATATGCACCTCATGGAGCATTAAAATGGGAAAGCTTATGAGTGTGTTTGTGTGGAATAGTTTCTATTCCCCAGGACTTGAACTAATACCGG